AACTTAACGGTTTTTTGTGTCAAATTTGTAAGCTTGCCGACTTTTAGGGAAAATCAGTTAATCCTGTGTCGGTGATGGTCTAGGGTCCATTCGTACGTTAGTGGTGGCGGAGGAGACAAAGATGACAAGTATTTTACAGTGAAAATCGTTTATTAGAACAGGAAGATGCTTACATATTTGAGGTAGTTAGAAAAGTATTATCATAAAAACATACCAGTAAATTCCTATCGGTTGGGTTAAGTTATAAATCTACTCGTTATTCACGTAATCGGCCAAATATCTAGCGGGCGGGCGGCTAACAGCCCGGAACCGGTCCCGGATAGAATTGGAAGCGTTGGAATGTGTAGCATCAACTCAAGGTCGTAGGCTTCCACTAGCTAAACCGGGTGAGGTTGGTGCTCTGTAAAGCGCATGCGCGAATCTGGCTTTTTGGAATCTGACAATACAGAGATTTCACTCCGCTACTAATATTTGAATATACAATAGCAATCTAATTTTTTTTCACGTGTAGTATAGAAATTTGTAATAAGATACATAATGCGGTTATAATAAAATATTGTGCGATTATTTTCATATAATTAAAATTAATATGTATTTATTTTTTTTATAAAATACAAGGGTAGCGGCGCTTCCACCGCTTCTAATGACGGCACGCCACTGCTGTTTAGTTTCAGTATGATTCTAAATTTTAAGTTTTTAAAATTAACTGTAGTAAGAAACTCTTAATCTTTAGAAGTCTTTTCTTTCTTTCTTCTTCTCAGATGTTATGGAGATTTTAGCTCATATAGGCTCTTTCTCCGACAGACATTTGGTTAGAGATTGGCTTTTGTTTAAGTAAAATTTCGACCGATTAGCCGTATCCGAACGGCCTATACGTGCGCGCGGGGAATAATGCCTTCCAGGAGGACTTTTATGGGGAACTGGCCTCCTATTCAGTCGTTATTGGCAAGGAGAAAACCCGGAAAACTCCAAGCAGCCAGCATATCCGATCGCGGCGCGAACCCACGACCGAACTTCCCAGTGTTTAGGGTCTGGTCACCGCTATGAGCGGCAACGGAGACCACTCGCCCATTAGAAGTCCTTTTGAAGTTTTAAACTTTTAAAAAATCAATCTTCAGTCATATCAATGTTCTAATGCTTTAGAATTTTATTATTGTTAATTTCGAATAAAGAAATGAGAGATTATAAGCAGTTTATATTTCAGGTATAACCATTCCGGAAAATAAAGTAATTATTTAACAAAACGTATACATTTTAATATCAAGCAAACAAACTGTAATGAAAATACAATTTAAAAAAAAAAAAAAAAAGGTGAGCTTAAATGAGTTTCAATCAAGGCTTTTATTATTCAAATCAAAGTGCAAGTGGGTTACAAGCAGAAATCTGTGCTTCATTTAGATCATTATTTTCAACACGAATATCATTTAACAGGCTAACAATTATGGAAGAAATACTTTACGAAAATATTTCGAAAATAAACTCTCTCTACAATGTTCTTTGTTTTTTCTGTAAAATCCACAAAACATATAAAAGGCAATTACGGCTGGTCTAGCCACACTTCTTTTGTATTAATTCGCACGGAAAAATAATTTTAAGATTTTTGACAATGTTCTGACACTTTAGTGGCCATTTTCTGTCCCAAACGACCGGCTCTAGATTCCACTGCTTGTATTAACTGGAGGTTTAAACTCAAATCCAGTTGCGCCTGCGAACCTTGGTGATATGTCTCTCTTCTCATGTTGCAACTCAGCACCGTGTGCCCATTTTGTTCAAATTGAAAACAATCTTGTCCTTTATCAAATAAAGAGAAAATTTTATAAATTTGTAACTATAAATATATGGCACAGTAAATGGAAGAATTTGAAAAAAAAAACTTTCAAATTAAAACAGAAGAAGTATGTAGTAGATAATGCTAATAAAATCTATTATTTCGTGACAAATTTTGAAGAAAAAAAATATGATTTATGAATTAAATAAAATACGGGAGAAAAATCACTAAACTGAAATTAAAATCTTTTACTTACATAGATTTTAAAAGGATCTTCAATTTTCAAACAAGAAACTAAAAGTTTTAATACTAATAATTGTATAATATTTTCATAGTATTTTGTCTGATGAATACAGGTGTGCAGTAGCGCATCCAGAAGGGGAGGCAAAGAGTCCTGGCACCCTCCAAAGAAAAAGTAAAAAGAACCTGAAAATTTTTCCAAATATCTTTTCCTAATTGGGCTGCAATTTGAAAAAATTGTGGACCTATAAATTCGTCTGTTGTCCGTCTGTCCTTTCTTAATCTCAAGAATGGAGAACATAGATGAAATTCGCGACCAGATATGAAAAGTATAGAGGTAGGAGCCCCTGATTAACTATATATGAACTTGAACCGGAAATCACGTTATTTCAATTCAAAAATTTTCTCCTGAACGGAGTTAGATTCATCATCAGCATGACTTCATTGTTAACGAGAAAAGTATTATCATACATACAGGGACAAGACACTACTAAACTTAAGTGCACTGTGACAAAAAATTGCAAAATCACAATAAATAATTGTTCGTTAAAATTTGTTTTTTGTGTTTATGTTGTGTCTTTTCTTCTATTTCTATAGTAGTTATGAATTAGTGGCCACAAACTGAGAATTTTATTGAATTCCGCATTAAAAATGATTTTTCCGTTCATCTCGGCTCCCTAAGATTAAATCGTGAGTGCGCCACTGAAGGTATGCATCGCTTAATGACAGGAATACGTTTCGAGAAATGCGTCCTTAAACCACTTTGCTATTAAGCAATCATCATAGCGCATATACCACATAAACTTTGTATAAGTATCGTAATTTCGTGAAGATAACTCGCAATGGCGTATACTCTGCAGAAAATTGCGAGAGAAAACAAAACTTGTATAACCCATTCCATCGCATAATTGGTACCCACTTTGAAATTTTTCAAACATATAACCTATGCTTTATCCACATCAAATTATGTAGTCTACCATTCATATAGACTAGACACAATTTACGTATCTAAATGTAGAAAACGTATGGACAGCTACAAAATTTTCAACTCCATTATAATTTTATGGGACCTCCACGCTATTTATCATTAAGCAGTTCATACCCATATTAAATAATTATACACTTCATTTACAGCAGTTGTTCTAGCCTTTTGTAATGTTTACAGAATTGTTACATACATTGTTGCTAACTTTTTGATAAATGTTTCTGAAATGTTTTTATACCACTATGAAGTTCTAACTTCATACTTTCTAATAACAATCAGCGATTTTATTATAAAATAAAATTTAATTAAATAAAAGAAAATTAACTGCCTACAAATGAGCTGCTTATGTTATAAAATTTAAAAATTAATATACGAAAGGCTAACAAAAGTAAGTCTAATGATAAACTTTGTTTTTATTTGCATTAGCACTTTATTGGGGGAAGCCAAATTAGCATTAAAGATAATCATAATAAATTATTATAGTTTATCAATGCATTATGAAAAACTGATTTTATTAAATATATGCAAATATGAAAGTAGAGAAACAAAAAACGAAATGATTTAAATAAAACGGAATCAGTTAATACAGGACTAGATAAATACAAACACAAAAAATAAAGAATGAATAATCAAATTCATCAAAGTTAATATTAAATAACGAGCCATGTAAATTGGAGAAAAAATGTTTAAAGCATTAAAAGAACTGACTGACAATTTTCTAGAAGTTCTGCCCATAAATATTTATGAGTGTAGAAAAGAGAAATTAAATGATTCATTTNAAAACAGAAGAAGTATGTAGTAGATAATGCTAATAAAATCTATTATTTCGTGACAAATTTTGAAGAAAAAAAATATGATTTATGAATTAAATAAAATACGGGAGAAAAATCACTAAACTGAAATTAAAATCTTTTACTTACATAGATTTTAAAAGGATCTTCAATTTTCAAACAAGAAACTAAAAGTTTTAATATTAATAATTGTATAATATTTTCATAGTATTTAGTATTTTGTCTGATGAATACAGGTGTGCAGTAGCGCATCCAGAAGGGAAGGCAAAGAGTCCTGGAACCCTCCAAAGAAAAAGTAAAAAGAACCTGAAAATTTTTCCAAATATCTTTTCCTAATTGGGCTGCAATTTGAAAAAATTGTGGACCTATAAATTCGTCTGTTGTCTGTCTGTCCTTTCTTAATCTCAAGAATGGAGAACATAGATGAAATTCGCGACCAGATATGAAAAGTATAGAGGCAGGAGGCCACGATTAACTATATATGAACTTGAACCGGAAATCACGTTATTTCAATTCAAAAATTTTCTCCTGAACGAAGTTAGATACATCATCAGCATGACTTCATTGTTAACGAGAAAAGTATTACGTACAGGGACAAGACACTACTAAGTGCACTGTGACGAAAAATTGCAAAAATCACAATAAATAATTGTTCGTTAAAATTTATTTTTTGTGTTTATGTTGTGTCTTTTCTTCTATTTCTATACTAGTTATGAATTAGTGGCCACAAACTGAGAATTTTATTGAATTCCGCATTAAAAATGATTTTTCCGTTCATCTCGGCTCCCCAAGATTAAATCGTGAGTGCGCCACTGAAGGTATGCATCGCTTAATGACAGGAATACGTTTCGAGAAATGCGTCCTTAAACCACTTTGCTATTAAGCAATCATCATAGTGCGTATACCACATAAACTTTGTATAAGTATCGTAATTTCGTGAAGATAACCCGCAATGGCGTATACTCTACAGAAAATTGCGAGAGAAAACAAAACTTGTATAACTCATTCCATCGCATAATCGGTACCCACTTTGAAATTTTTCAAACATATAACCTATGCTTTATCCACATCAAATTATGTAGTCTACCATTCATATAGACTAGATACAATTTACGTATCTAAATGTAGAAAAGGTATGGACAGCTACAAATTTTTCAACTCTATTATAATTTTATGGGACCTCCACGCTATTTATCAATAAACAGTTCATACCTATATTAAATAATTATACACTTCATTTACAGCAGTTGTTCTAGCCTTTTGTAATGTTTACAGAATTGTTACATACATTGTTGCTAACTTTTTGATAAATTTTTCTGAAATGTGTTTATACCACAATGAAGTTCTAACTTCATACTTTCTAATAACAATCAGCCATTTTATTATAAAATAAAATTTAAATAAGAGAAAATTAACTGCCTACAAATGAGCTGCTTATGTTATAAAATTTAAAAATTAATATATGAAAGGCTAACAAAAGTAAGTCTAATGATAAACTTTGTTTTTATTTGCATTAGAACTTTATTGGGGGAAGCCAAATTAGCATTAAAGATAATCATAATAAATTATTATAGTTTATCAATGCATTATGAAAAACTGATTTTATTAAATATATGCAAATATGAAAGTAGAGAAACAAAAAACGAAATGATTTAAATAAAACGGAATCAGTTAATACAAGACTAGATAAATACAAACACAAAAAATAAAGAATGAATAATCAAATTCATCAAAGTTAATATTAAATAACGAGCCATGTAAATTGGAGAAAAAATGTTTAAAGCATTAAAAGAACTGACTGACAATTTTCTAGAAGTTCTGCCCATAAATATTTATGAGTGTAGAAAAGAGAAATTAAATGATTCATTTACAAAAAAAACTAGATCTCTAAAATCTCAAGGGGGCCAACATTTTCTTTCAATTCGCCCACCTAAAGAAGAAAGATTCTTTAGGTGGCATTAATGTTTGAATGGCATTAATGAAACAATGTTTCATTATCATCATGACATTCATTTGTTCTCATTTGATTCAAAGAAAATAAGGGAAGTTCAACTCTTCTTTGTTTCACATTCCACAGCAGTTTGCTCAATAAATTAAGAGACAAAATGTTAATTCAAAATTTCAATAGAATTTTAATAAACATGTATTCATCTAAATTATTAAATGCACATCTCAGACAGTCTCCAGTAATTTCTTTTATTGGTTTGTAATAAATACTCTCTAGCTTCTCAAATTTATCAAATACAGTAAACTCCTGCTAACTCAGACTAATAGGGGATAAAGGTTGTCCAAGTTATATACAGTACATTAATTTATTACAATCAGCTCTATACAGCTTTACTGAGCTTTATTAGGTTATACTGCCGAATTTTTTATTACAGGAAATGGACTCAAAATTTTTGTGACTACAGTATAAAAAATGTAGCCTACAGTCTTTAGTGACTTAATATAATGTACCATACTGCAAACATTTGTTAATTAAAATATTTCTATTGTCAAAAATATTTAATTTACAATGTTTTGAAAAAAAAATTTTGTCCATTAGCAGAGGTTTACTGTATATAGCCAATATTCATTTTTAAAGCATTTTACAAATAAATACTTTGGTGAGAACTTTTAAAATATAGTGTCTCAGTTGTAAACAAAGAATACATCTGTTTTCAACAGAAAAAGACACTTAAGATAGATGAGATTAAGGTGGCAGCCTATCACTCTGGGGTCCTGGAACCAAATCCGGGTGGACCAAAAACTCCAAAGATCTTTTGGGGCGATCCGTCCAAATACTTGGAACCCCAGCCAACCCCATTGAAACCTGGCCAAATCTTGGCTTGCTAAAAAAGGCCCTCTTAATGCCCATGAGGCAAAATTTTTAAAAAAATCTAAAATTTATTGTTAGTAAAAAATGAAAGGCATACAGCAGTGCAATGAGATGATAATTATTAACCAAATAGAAATGATAGATTAAGTCACTATTGAGAAAATGGCCCATAAATAGAAAAATAATAAATTCCATATCATTGATTGTATTCTAATATTTAATAATTTTTATCACACTTTTGAATTAGTTTTTCAATCCATAAAAATGTTTTAAAGCTAAACATTAATTTCCTAATTCCATAATTATTAAACTTTTTGAAGGTATCAAACTGTAACAATAAAATATTCTTAAGGCATTTTTAAAATAATAAAAATAAAAAAAAACTTAAATATAAATGGAGATTTTAATTAACTAACTATAAACTAAAATTATAAAGCCAAATTTAATTTTTAATAAATTAAAAATAAAAATAGTTAGAATTTAATAATAAAGCTTTTAAACAAATTTTTAAAATGTTACATTACATTTTATATTATTATTTAATTTCTTTACTATAGAATTTTTTATTTATAATATGAATACAATCATAACTGGTTAGATTGTAATTCGAAAATTGATAATTATTTTCTCAAAATGTTATGCTAACTATTATTTCTTTTTATAATTTTCTAAAACTTTAATTTGATTAAGAAATTAATCATTTGTAATTTAATTTTAAAAAATGTTTAAAGCAATAAAAATAAACAAAAGTTCAAATGTTCTTCTCTAAAGATTAATAAATCAAACTATTAAAAAAAATACGAAATGATGAAAATAAAATAGTTTATTTTTTCGTAAGCAAAATATAAATAAAATATGTCAAAATAAAGGAAAGATAAAGCAAGTGAATGGTCAACGTATCAGGATGGAGGTATGACCGTTAATAAAACAGGCAAAACATAGCATTCGTTTTTCAGCGAACAATGTGAGGTACCTCTTCCATCCAAGCTTTCTCTTATCTTTTGTTCTTCATATTCCAACCGCTGTTCTAATTTAACTTCAGGCGGAGCTTGTTCGTTTAATAATTTTTCGTGTTGCCTCAACCAAAACTCATGCTGTTTCTGATACTCACGTAATTCCGATAAAGTCCGTTGTAACGAGCTATTAAATAAAACAGTAATTTTATGAATATTAAAATAGAATATTTTCATGCTTAAATCTTAAACTAACATTAATAATAATGATACAATTGTATATGTATATATATGTTACCGCTAAAGCTCGGAAATTCGTTAATCTGCAGATTAATGAGTTTCGAGCTTTAGCGGTAACAAATAATAAAATAATAATGATATATATATATATTACAGTGGAACCTGATTAACTCGAAATGGTTGGGGAAAAAAATTTGGACTTTGAGTTTAAAATTTTGAGGAATTTGAGTTAGTTTGTTATGCTAGTCGATTGGGAAAAGAAAATGACTGAGTAAACACAACTTCAAGTTATCTGGTTAACCATGTTCCACTGTATTATATTTTCTCCAAGATAGTTCTTGTCCATTCAAAAATTATTGATTAATACATTAATTTCCTGATCATAATTATATATTCACTACAGCAGTATAAAATTTAGAAATATCTTTTCTTTGTATATGGCATTCTATAAACAACAAATTTTTAAAGTTAAAGCTAATATTCTTATACTGTACATATTCGATCCATCTTTAATTGTTTAATTTAAAATATGACCAACTGTGCAAATATATGCAAATATAGTAGATCCCGTATAAGATGGGTTCCTATAAATACGATTCCTATAAGACAGAGAAATATTGTGGCGGTATCCATAAACAACGGTAAAAAAACTTCTATAATTATGTAAAACGTCATCGGGCAGCCGAACTACTTTCCACCGTCCAGCGCCACGCTACAGACAGATTAGGCGGGTAAATTGAGTTTAGTATTAGTATAATTATATATAAATTATATATAAATTAGGTACTGTATATATAATTATATACAGGTAACCCCCGTATAACACGGCACTTCTATAGCACGGATTCGCTCTAACACGGTTCGAGAATTGGTACCATCCCCCGTATAACAGGAAATGTAATAAATTTTTACATACTTAACTAATAATAGTTCACGAAAATTATTATTTTTGTGAACTATTAGTACTTAAGTATGTAAATTTTCTCTTTTCGCCTTCTGTCGATACAGGTGGTCTTTCTCGAAACTTGTTTCAATGTTGCCAGATCACGACGCTTCTGCTTGTGATGTTGCCGAATGTTTTTCCCTTATTCCATACTTGCTTTATTCTTCATAAGTGCTTAGCACCATATAAGG